TTTAAGATAGTTTCGGGTTCTTAATTGGATATTGTTTGGATTCCAATTGGAGTTACATTAAAGCTATAAATTAACTTTGGGGGAACGGACATTTTTGTGATGTTGTTTTCCTGTCCAAGGATATAGTATGTCTAACCATTTGTTCAGCCCTTGTTTTATGTTCTTCAGTAAGATCTTACTATATGGCAAAAGACAATGTAAACGAGTCAATAAAAATTATATTTATTTGAAAAATAATATTTTCAATGAAGAGGACAAATACTGGTTTATAAAATATAAAGTGCTCTTGGGGCTGGCCCCGTGGCCGAGTGGTTAAGTTCGCGCGCTCCACTGCAGGCGGCCCGGTGTTTTGTTAGTTCGAATCCTGGGCGCGGACATGGCACTGCTCATCAGACCACGCTGAGGCAGCGTCCCACATGCCACAACTAGAAGGACCCACAACGAAGAATACACAACTATGTACCGGGGGGCTTTGGGGAGAAAAAGGAAAAAATAAAATCTTTAAAAAAATATATATATAAAGTGCTCTTATAAATTGATAAGAGAGAGATAAACAACTAAAAGAAAAATGAGCAAGGGGCATGAATAGGTAATTTACAGAAGAGTAACTCCAAATAGCTGACAAACATGGAAAAATGCTCACACTCACCCATAAAGACTTTCAAATTGAAGATAAAATGAGGTATCACTTTATACCAGGATTTCTCAAACTTATTGGCATTCTAGGCTGGATAACTGTTATGGGGGCTGCCTTGATCATGGTAGGGTATTTAGCAGAATCCCTGGTTCTGCCCACTAGAAGCTAGTAGCACCTACCCCCAACCATGAGTGACAGTTATGACAATCAAACCTATCTCCAGACTTTGCCAAATGTCCCAGGCGAGGTGGGTGGGGCAAAATCATTACAGGCTGAGAAACACTGCTTTTCACCTATCAGACTAGGAAAACTTTAAAGGCCTGATTACACCTGTTGTTGGCAAGGATGCAGTGCAACACAAAGACTCATATGTTGCTAGTAAAAATGTAAGTTATTATAGCTTTTATGGAAAATGACTGAACAATGTCTATTAAAATAAAAAATGCATATACTCTTTGACCTAGTTATCCCACGCCTGGGAATAAAACCCATAAAAATGAAACAAAAACTACATAGACATATATTGTCAAGGATGTTAATTGCAACATTGTTGGAAGTGACCAAAAAACTGAAAACACGGTGAATGAACATAAATAGGGAAAGGTTGAATGATGGTACACCCACACAACGGGACATTAGAAAGAATTAGAGCTTAACCTTATTACGTGGAATGTTTCTCGTGAATTATTCCTGAGTCAGAAAAGCAAGATTGAAAAGGGTGCATAATATAACTCTACTTTTTGCAAAATACACATTCCCACATGCTTTTATACATAAATAGAGAAAAACGTCTCTCAATATTCTATTTACCCCTACAGAATGGGCAAAAATATTTGCGTATCATATATCTGACAAGGCTCTAGTATCCAAGATGTGTAAAAAAACTCTTACAACTCAACAACAAAAAGACAACCCAATTAAAAAGTGGGCAAAAGACTTGAACAGACATTTCTCCAAAGAAGACATACAAATGGCTAATGAATACATGAAAAGATGCTCAACATCATTAATCATTAGGGAAATGCAAATCAAAACCACAATGAGATATCAGTTCACACCCCTAGGATGGATATTTTTTTAAAAAAAAAAAGAAAAGAAAAAATAACAACTGTTGGCAAGGACGTGGAGAAATTGGAACCCTCATACATTGCAGGTGGGAACATTAAATGGTGCAGGCTCTGTGATAAACAGTTTGATACTGCCTCAAATAGTTAAACATAGAATTATAAAGTGATCTGGAAATTCCATTCCTACGTACCCAAAAGAATTGAAAACAGGTACTCGAACAAATGTCTGCACGCAAATGTTCACAGCAGCACTATTCACAACAGCCAAAAAGTGGAAACAACCCAAATGTCCATCAACTGATGAATGGATAAACAAAATGTGTTATATACATAAAACGGAATATTTTTCAGCCATAAAAAGGCATGAAGTACTGATATATGCTACAATGTTGATGAACCTTGAAAATGTTATGCTAAAAGAAAGAAGCCAGACACAAAAGGTCCCATATTGTATGATTCCATTTGTATGAAATATCCCGAATAGGTAAATCCATAGAGACAGAAAGCATATTAGTGCTTGCCAAGGGCCAAGGGAGAGGGAGAATAGGGAGTGATTGCTTCATGGGTACAAGTTTCCTTTCGGGGTGGTGAAATGTCTTAAAACTAGATAGAGGTGATGGTTGCACAACATTGTGAATGTACTAATGCCACTGAGTCGTTTACTCAAATACGGTTAATGGGTAATCTTATGTGAATATTGCCTCAATTTAAAAAATATATTCTATTTACCACTGCAGTAGTTTCCTATTGCTGCATAACACATTTTTACAAACTTAGCAGTATAAAACATTGCGATAACAGCTTAGCTCACAGTTCTGTAGATCAGAAGTCCAGGTGGGCTTGGGTGGGTTCTCTACTGAGAGATTCACAGGAAGAAATTCAAGTGTTGGCCAAGCTGGACTCTTAATCTGGAGGCTCTGAGAAAGAATCCACTTCCAAGTTCCTTTAGGTTATTAGCAGAATTCTGTTCCTTGTGACTGTAGGACTGAAATCCCCTCTTCCTTGCTGGCTGTATAGCCAGGAGTCAGTCTCAACTGCTACAGGGTACCCACATCCTTGGTACATAACCTCCTCCAACATCAGATCTTTCTCATTCTTCAATTACCTATGACTTCCTCTTCTGCTACCAGCAGGAGAAACTTCTCTGCTTTTAAAGAGCTCGTGTGATTAGATTTGGCCCACAAGGATAATCTAGCTTTTGCCATATAATGTAACAATCACAATCGTACTATCTCATCAAATTCAGGGGTTCCACTCCACACTCAATGGGGTGGGGATTAGATTACACAAGGGCAAGGGTCATTGGAGGTCATTCTCAGAACTCTGCCTACCACGGCCTCTTAGAGAAAAATAGCAAAAAATAGTTTCTACCCAATTCAAGAACAAACATTATTTGTTAGTGCCCAACATTGCAAAGAGGAGCTGAGGTGTCTAATTGATTTATACCATGGAAAAGTTTCAAAAGCAGTAATTTACAGATTAACACAATTCAGGTCTCCAAGCCTCAGGGAAGGGACAGAAAGCTCTTCTTCATAAGTCGGCTCACTCTTTCTGAGGCCTCTCCTGGTTTTCTTTTTTCTTTTTCTTTTCTACCAAAGCACTGAATTTAAATGCAAAGCAATTGCCAAGAGGACCACTAGTGTTCTCTCTGTAGTCATGATGAGAGGCGGATACTACGGCTGGAGTTTAGGGGACTAAATGATTGTATTATAGATAGTAGTTCTCACTTTTTTGCCTCAAGACTTCTGTTATTGAGGACCCTAAAGACTCTTTATTTTTGTGGGTTACACTTATTGATAGTTGCCATATTAGAAATTAAATCTGAAAAGCTTTTTAAACACAAAAATATGCAAGCAAATATTCTCTTAGCTGTTAAAGTGATGATGTCATCACACATCATGTAGTTTCTAGCATGAAAAAGGAAATGAAGTCTTGGTACTATTATGAGAATAGCTTGACGTTGTCGAACTCTGAAAAGGTCCCAAGAACCCCTAAGGCTTCCTGGATCACACTTCGAGACCCACTGATAGATGTAAATACCAACAATTGCATTTCTTCAAAGATTAATCAACTCACATATTTTGGTGCCATTCACTTGTGCAGCCTTAGAAACAAGTCTGCCTTCTTTCCTTTTACTAGCATGTTGTGCCATCTGGTAAGACTCATTTTTCCGGCTGAATGCAAAAAGTATCCCTTTTGCAAAAAGTGTCATTTGCTGACACAGGGGAAAAATTGAGCTAGATGGGTCGTAACATACATGAAAACAAAACAGAGTTCAAAAATGTTCTCTGTGAGCTTCTGGGAGGATGTGTTACTCCGCAAATCTTGCACAGGGAAAACTCCTTTACGTGGTGCAGCTTGGTCTGCAGTGGAAAGGACTGGGATAGAGTCAGGCCGTGAGTCAGGCAGAAAGAGGCTTATACATTGAGACGAAAGAAAGCACTGGGAATTCTTGTCATGCTTTGCCCTTGAAAACTATGCCAAGACCTCTTTTTTTGGTGTTTTTTTTTTTTCTTAATGAAGAGACCGGTGATATTTCGTGATTGCGTCAATGACTCAGGATTTCCCACTTTCCTTTTAAACACAGGCTGTATCATACAGTTATGTTTGTTCTCTTTGTATCCTGCTTGCAAAAAGTGACGAAATAAAGCTAAAACCCTTTAATTAGGACTCCATTACGGTCCTTCAGTTAAGGGACTAGCTCCTTCGTCCTTCTCACAATACTTGAGGTTACTTTCTTCCCTTCAGTCTGTCGGAAACGTCCCGAGCGCTCAGAGCCGAGGCTTCCAGTGCCTTTCTTCGGCAGCTGAATACAGTTTAAAACACGAAAGCTGCTGGAGGAGAGGTTTAACACTCCCCCGCCTCAAGGTTAAATCGTTGCCCGGCCTTGGCCACTAAGTCTCTCGGGAAAGAGAATATGAAAGGACGTCCAGAGGGACGGTGATTAAGAATGAGAGGGTGACCGTGGAACAGCGCGTTCCTTCCGGCGGGGATTAGGCCGCATGGAGCATTCCTGACAGAGGATGACCGAAGCGGCTGCGAGCGTGGGCCGACAGCTCCCCGCCTGACCAGCGCGCGCCGCCAGGACAACCACAGCGTCCGTCCCGGAGCCCTTCAAGTCCCCCGCGCCGGAGCCCCCGGACGTCAGCGGTCTGGCGGGCCGCCGCCCGTTCGCATCCTGTGACCCAACGACCAATGGGAGAGAAGCCACATTCCCGGCGTCCGCTGTGATTGGCTCTCACCGTGGAGGCGGGGCGGAGGGTGGGCGTGTCCGGTTTTCTGCCGCGCGGCGGGCGGCCCCGCGTGAGGCGCCGGCGCAAGGGAAGGCCGGGGGCTTGGCGGCCCCAGGCGGCGGCGAGCCCAGAACGGCCCGGCCCCACAGAAAGGAGGCGCCTGCGCTAGGGCAGCGCCTGAACCTCACTCCAGGTGGCAGAGGAGGAAAAGGAGAAGGAAGGGGCCGGGCCGGGTCCCCGCCCCTCGCGCTCCGGATGGAAGTGCCGGGCCCGGTGTCCCGGCGGGCGGCGGCGGCGGCGGCGGCCACCATGCTCCTGCGCACGGCTCGGGTCCCTCGCGAGTGCTGGTTCTTGCCCACCGCGCTGCTCTGCGCCTACGGCTTCTTCGCCAGCCTCAGGCCGTCCGAGCCGTTCCTGACTCCCTACCTGCTGGGGCCCGACAAGAACCTAACCGAGAGGGAGGTACGCCCGGCGGGGCGCGTGCGGGGGGATGCGGTCAAGGAAAGGACAGGCGGTGAGAAAAGCGTTCTGGGCAGGGATTGCTGACTCTCCCCGCTGGGAAGGCGGCTCCGTGCGGGGCGCGGCTTTAATTTGTGCTGCTTTTCTGTCGTCAGTGGGGTTTATAGGGCACGTCTTGCGTGAAGGGTCGGGAGCCCCAGTGCACGTGTGCCCCAGGCGATGTGCTGATGATGCGGTAATGTAGCTTAGCCCCACTCTGCTCAGACTGGTCCAGCAGTTCCCGCTGCGGGGCGGGGGGGGGAGGGATATTTGGATAAAAAAGTGAAAACAGCAAGTTGTACTTTGGACATGGTAGTAAAGGTTTAGTAAATATTTGTTGTCTGAAAGTAGGGAACCAGAGGTGAGTAATCCTTGCTTTTCCGAAAGGATCTTCCCTCCCCCTTCGCACCCTCTTCCTTCCCATGGCTTACTTCCTTTACCTTTGACAGACGGAGGTGCTCAAATAAGGACAGTACAGGACAACAAAAATCTGTCATCTTGATTCGTCTTGATTTTTAATTGTGTGAGGCTGTGAACAAGGACATGCTGCCTCCCCCCCTTAGTCCCTACCTCCTGGGACAGAAGCAGATACTTAGTATCACATAATTGGCGCTTAGTTATGGTTTTTGTTGCATTGTGAATTGTTGCTTCACAGATGTTAGTTTTGCTTCTCAACATCTTGGAAAGCTTCTGTCCCGCTGTGATGCTCAGGGTAATTGAGAGCACATAGGCCATGATTAAGAACTTCTTGCTGACTGATTTTCCCTTAGTCAAGTTCTTCAGAAGTGCGTCACGTACTGTAAAAATGTGTTCAACTCAAAGTGTATAGTCAATCTCAACACTTGTTTTTTGAAGAAGAAAGACATTATGTTAACTGGAAAAGGAATTAAACTCAAGGTGCTATATCGAAAAACCAAAATAAAGCAGATTCAACATCCTCTCTTTGAACACTACAAAGTGTGAGAGCTGAGGTCTGGTGTCTCTTTCTGGAACACTACAAAGGGTGAAAGCTGAGTGGCCACTTGTTAGCTGTTCCTTTTTTCCTGTGCTTCCTTTTCTCCCACCCTGCCTTCCCGCCCCAGTCGCTGTGAAATACTCCTCCTGTTTAAACCTTACTCTTCTCCCTTGGTTAGTAGTTACCTCTTTTGAGTAGCAGCTCAGTATCCCTGCATAACCGGTCAGAGCAGGATGCAATTACTCATAGTCCAGTTTGTTGTTGCATTGCTCCTCTATTTTCAAGGGCATTTATCAAGGAATTGAAAGCTGGTGTTGAATCCTGGATTGAGGTTTGCATTTGAGTTTCGCCTATTGTCTCACATCTAGCAAGTGTCCCTGACTTGTACCAAACTTCCGATCTTCTGTTTCTCAGTCTTATGGACCACTCCACCAGGGACTGTAACAGTTATTCATTATACCTGTTTGAGTTTTAATATTGGTTAAAAACAATTATAAAGTAGAAAGGGCCAAATTTTGTGAACAAAATGATTTTACAAGAAGGAACTTCCTGCAGTAAATATGAGAGAATGATTCTGGAGACCCAAAACAGCCGCTGAATCTGAAGTCTGGCCACTGAAGCAGAAGTGATACTCCTTGTGAGCTGCTCACAATTAAAGTTTCATGTGAACTGCCATGTGATCTGCACAGTTTGTGCGCCTTGCCTGACAGAGAAATATGTGGGGGAGAAACATGCTGCCGGTGTTGATATTTGAAAGCTGATCTGTTTTGAGACCTATTTTGTCACGTGCCCTTGGCAGAGAGCTGCTGTGTGATGTGCCATCATGTGCCCTGTCTTATCAGAAAGCTCTCTAGTGTGAGTGAAATATGTTCAGGGAGTATAGGAATAAAGCAGAGGTGTCACGCCCAGTAAATAGTTGCTGATTATATAATAAAAACGTAGTACATTTCTGTTTTATTGCAAATTAGATGAGGAAGAGGACAGGGTCTGAAAAGCAATCTAGTAGTCTAGAAAGGCGTGTCATTTGTCTGAAGACATTAACATCGTGGCTGATTCTGTTGGTTGTGTACGGGATGGCTCTGTTTACTCTCTCTGGACCCCTAGATTTTTTTCAAATCTAATAACTGAAGTAAATAGAACAACTTGGTCTCCATCCTGACCGAGTGCTTGCTCTCACCAATGGACAGTTAAATAAAAAATATTATGTGATTTTTAGGCAAAGCTAATGTCAAATCACAGTCAGTGATGTTTGTATTTCCTCCTAGAAGACTTTAAAAGGGCAAGTTGGATCATCTTAAATGGAGCTGTTATTAACCAAATCCAGAGACATACGGAGGGGAAAAAGGACAAAATTTCCTCTGTCTTTCCACTCTCAAAGGACTTTTTCTTACATTTCAGGGAAAGTGCTAATCTGTTTTAGGTACCACTTTATAAGTTTAAACAGGTTAAAATTTGTATTCCAATAGTTGAAAGCCAAACTTCCAATAAAACAGAACACTTTCTCTACAAAATTTTTTTGATCCTTTTATGTTTTTTAGCATGTGACTTGACAGACATTCACTACCTTTCTTTGATGTTTTTGAAACATTCCACCAATTCGGCCTGATATTTAGAGCCTTACAGAATTTGACTCTTCTCTCTTTAATGGCCTTATCTTCTACTGCATCCTCTTTCCCTTGCCTGCTTCCACAAGCCCAAGCCCCGTCCACATTAATCTTATACTCATAAGTCCAGCATATCCGCAGTCTCTCATCTACTGGCGTGTACTCGAAGGAGTGGTCTCTGCTTGGAATAATCTTCCCATACATATCTGTTGATATCTTTCTGTTAGCCTCTGACTTTCTGATCCTTGAAGCTGCATCTCAAAGAAGCAACCTCGTATTTCTGATCTCCCTTACCAATAACGTATGTGTGTATATTCCTCACTAGGTTCAGCACTCCTGGAGAACTGAGGGTTCATTTTATTTATTTATTTATTTGTTTGTTTGTTTTTATAATCCCCATACAGCTTGAAAACAGAGTCGTGCAATTAAATGATTATTAACTAGTTGTTTAATTGAAACTTGATTCTAAAATACAGTCCAAATCTGAATTAGAACTTAAAACTGAACACTTATTTTCCCTTGACTTTTTGTATCTCAGAAGAAAGCACAAACGAGCTCTAATCGAGAGTTGTGAAAGTCACCTCAGAGTAAAATGATTTCCCTTTGGCCACATGGCAGATTTTACCTGAGATAAGAAGATTGTCTAGGGGACGGACAATAGGAGTCTGTAATTTGTACGGTATTGTGTAGGAAGTTTTCCTTCAGGATTCAAAGAATCTGTCAAAGAAGCATTTTCTGTGTAACCGCTTCTCCTTGGAGGCACTGAAAGAGAAGAGGGGTCTTCTTTTGGAGACCCAGGGTCTAAGCTCTGGAGATTATATAGTCTTCTTCTCTTCATGAATGCTCTGTAAAAGCACCTCAGTGCAGGTTGACAAAGCTGCTGCAGGCATTAGAAGTAACCCTGGACCAGAGGACATGCTCAGTAACAGTTTTCTGATAGAAGAAAAGAGGCATTTCAGTGCGGTGGATTCAGAATATCTAGGTTCAGCTCCTCCCTCTGCCAGTTACTAGCTTTGATAACTTTGGACAGTTGACTTAACATTTCTCTAAGGCCAAGTTTCCTTGATTGTAAAATAGAAATAGTAAAAGCAGTTACCTCTTAGGGTTGTTGTTTGTATTAAGTAAGGTAATGGAGGTAAGGCGATTAGCATAGTGTGGAGCACATCAGTAGAGATTGCTATTATAATGCTGATAATACTGGAAGAAGGACATTCATCGTGGGTTGATCTCTCTCAGGGGAAAAGTCAGATTTCTTATGCAGAATAAGTTAGAGGACCCATCTGATCTCCACGCCCTCACTCCTACCCGCCTCCAACCCCCCCCCCCCCCCCCCACCCCCTTGCCTTTGTTTTTGATTCTACTTGGCATTGCAAGTCTGGCGATCTTATGTTTCCTCCTTGTCATTATCTAAAGTGTGGTTTTGTATTAGGAGTAAAATTAGACTCCTAAGTATAAAGACTTTAAATTGATAATTAAAAGGATGAGATTTATATAATGAAGACTTGGCAATTAATCGTTTGGGACAACTATTATTGAAAGTTATATGACGTGTTTAAGTGCAGACCATACTACTAGAGTGAAGAAATCAATTAAAATCCCAAGGAATATGGTGGAAAACAGGGAGATGAGGTATTGAAGGAAGAGATGGGGGTATTTTAAAGGAGAGGTATCATGGCTAATAGCTTTGTGGTGTTGTGTTGGGGAAAATGTGAAGCTGAAGAAACGTGGAGTAAACAGAGGAGGCACTTTCAAAATTAAGAAAACTGTAGGAGAATATCTGTAAAACTATAGGCAAAAAGGAGTGGGAAGTTGTTAAACAGAACTATGAAAAGTCTGTAGGGAAGCCTTCACTCCTTCTGGCTTTCATCTCAAGGTGACCCTTATCCCCTTTGGTTTTCTACTAAGAGGCGTCTTATGCTGTAGTTACGCCAGCTAGCCAAGTGCACTTTGTTCCTCATTCACTGGAATAAGAACCATTTCTACCGTTCTTGATTATTCTTTCATACATATTCAGGTGCAAGAAAATTTCCTGATCAAGTAGAGGTTGCTAAATGATTTATAAACACAAATTAGACCAAAATTCATGAAGGTGAGGCTATTAGACAAATGACTTTTGAGATTCGGCCAGTCAGAAACAGAAATCAAGTCTGGAATATGTTTCAGATTGTGTTTTACTTTTATAGTTGTGCTCTGCACTGGCAAAAAGTTTTACAATAATTGTTTACTTTATGGTTCCTTTAAAACCTTAAAAAAAATTAGACCATTTTATACTCCGGTGAACTGAGGTATACATGAAAGTTAAAAAGAAAGTTACCCATGGTCTTAGATTGTCAAAGTGTAGGATTAGATTGCTCCATTGCAAAGTATTTAGCCTGTTACCAAAGCTATCTTCTAGAAAGCACTTAAAAATTGGGGCCACTGATCCAGACTTTGAAATGATCATTTAAAGAACTGACTGACTGACCCCCCAGGGCCTTGCTGGACACTCAATAGGTGTCAGAGGAGGGAAAAGTCTCCTACAATGATTGTTGTTGGAAGAATGGGGTTGGCAGTTGGATTAGTTTAGTTAATTCATATTGTCCCAAGTGGTCTGTGTTTCAGCTTAATTTACATGTATTCTTTCATTTAATCCTTGCAACGAACAACCCTCTGGCATAGGTCTGACCCCTCTTTTACTGATAATGGAGACTAAGGCTAAAGGGAACTAGAAAAAGCTTGCCTACAATCACACAGCAAATGATGGAACTGAAGTTCCACCTGGGGTCTTTATGGTTCAAAGCTTATTTTAAAGATTATTTCTGCTATATCCCAATTTAAAAAACACATTAAAAAGAAAACAGCAAAATCTTCTATTTTTGTCCTATTACAGACAGACGAAAAGAAGGACATCAAAGTTGCCTATTATCCTACCATCTATAGACAGTTATCCTGTCAGGACTGTAGGACAGATTTACCCTTCTTACCTCTTCCTGTGCCCCAGAGAAATGAAACATAAAATCAAAGAAACCTAGTCAAATGGTAGGATCAGGGCTCCTTAGTCTGTGGTTAGTAGTAAGAATTGACAACACTTCCAAAACATTTATTTGTTTCCAAAACACTTATCGAGCCAAGTATCTTCCAGACAGTATGCTGGTTGTTAGGTTGTGCAGGTGAATGTCGAGTCCACCCTTAAGGAACCTTATAAGGTGATGGTTCTCAACTCTGGCTCATGTTAAAATCTCCTGGGAGGTTTTTAAAAATGCCTTTGACTGGGCATCCAAAATTTTTAAAGCTCCTCGGAGATGTGCAACCACGGTTAAGAGCCAGTTGCTATGAGGTAACTGGGGAGATGGACACATTACAAAGCAGTATCAACAGAGCTTTGAATGTTGCAATACAAATACTGTCAGCTTCAGCAAAGTCTTCCAGGAGGAAGAAGTCTTTGAATGAGGCCTGGTGAATGGGGAGGATTTTAGGAAAAAGATGATGGGGTGGAAATGGGGAAGTGTATTCCAAACAATTATCAGAATTGTTGTTGAGATTTCTTTAGTTGGTAAGGATGACGTATTTGACATGTTGGTAAGTTGTTTTATAAGAATAAATTGTTATGAATATTCTAGGTCCTTTGATATCACTAATGGGTTTTTCTTCTTTTTCTATCAGGTCTTCAATGAAATTTATCCAGTGTGGACTTACTCTTACCTGGTGCTGCTGTTTCCTGTGTTCCTTGCCACAGACTACCTCCGTTATAAGCCTGTTGTTCTGCTGCAGGGACTCAGCCTTATTGTTACATGGTTCATGCTGCTCTATGCCCAGGGACTGCTGGCTGTTCAGTTCTTGGAATTCTTCTATGGCGTCGCCACAGCCACTGAAATTGCCTATTACTCATATATCTATAGTGTGGTAGACTTGAGCATGTACCAGAAAGTCACAAGTTACTGTCGAAGTGCCACCTTGGTGGGCTTCACAGTAGGCTCTGTCCTAGGGCAAATCCTTGTCTCGGTGGCAGGCTGGTCCTTGTTTAGCCTGAATGTCATCTCTCTTACCTGTGTTTCTGTGGCTTTTGCTGTGGCCTGGTTTCTGCCTATGCCACAGAAGAGCCTTTTCTTTCACCACGTTCCTTCTGCCTGCCAGGGAATGAATGGCATCAAGGTACAAAATGGCGGCATGGTTACTGACACCTCAGCTTCTAACCACCTTCCTGGGTGGGAGGACATTGAGTCCAAAATCCCTTTAAATGTGGAGGACCGTCCCATGGAGGAGCCGGTGAGTTTAGCCTTAAATGTCTTGTGGTTGCTGTTTGGGGGCTACCCCAATGGTGACGAAACGGACAGGAAGCCTTCTCCTGCTAGACCTTGTATCCATCTGGATTCAGGTTTTATTCTGAATTGGCTTATTGATTCCTTCATTCATAGATTCAAGATAAGGTCAGTTTTATACTAGGGATGACAAATATATTTTCCCCTGGAGTGAATGATCTCTGAGGTCAGACTGGCACAGCATTGTATTGCTCGTGTCAGAGATGTCTTAGATTGCAGGGGCTGTCTGTTCTTCTTCTTTCTATCCCCAGTACTTGGTGTATAAATAAAACGCTCAGAAAACTTTGCTAAATGAATAGATGAAATAATTCTAATAAATGATGAATATCTACTTCCAGTTTTTGAATTGCAGCCCAGAATATTAAGGATAGAAAGTTATCTTCCTCTTCTGTGCTGGAAGTGTTATCTGATATTTATTTGCAAATGATACTTTGCCAAAGTGAGGTACTAATGAATGATACAGAGGATCACAAGAGGAAAATTTAAGCTGATGATGGAATAAATATTAAAAGTTCGACTATGAAATTATTCCTTAGAAGAGAGATATATGCCATCAAAATAATTCATCCATGCATTCTGTCTAGCCAGGAAGATTAATTGCCTCTCCCAGTCACTTACGATTTTTTATAAAAGCTTTTTATCTTTCTGTCAGGTTCTAAGCTATGAGGGGCAAAGCTTATTCCAACCGTACTGAGTTAGTCTTAGGTCTCCTGGGACGAGTTTGGAAATAAGCGTAATAACATTCAGGTTTTGCAGATGGGCTCTGTCAATCATTAAAACCAACCTCCATAAGCTTTGTAGGCTGGATTAGAGTAAAGAATCAATGTGAATAGTCTTTGGCTCTCTACCTGGAGTTAACTCAGATTGTTTCAATGTGGGATCTAATTACTCTCTTTGCCTACCCCTATTCTTCATTTCTGGTTACTTGAAATTTAGGTTATCATCCCAAAGAGCTTGGGTCACCTTTTAGAGCCTGGGTGACACTCATGAAACTCACTTTGATTTCTGAGACACCTGTGTGCAGCTTCAGTCAAATTTACCAGGGATTACACCCAACCCTGATGGCCTAGTGGTTAAAGTTGGGCACTCTCACTGGCGGCCTGGGTTTGGTTCCCAGTCATGGAACCACACCACTTGTCCATCAGTATCCATGCTGTGGTGGTGGCTCACATAGAAGACCTAGAAGGAAACACTATGATATACAACCATACACTGGGGTTTTGGGGAAAAATAAAGAAGAAAAAACGAGGGAGATTGGCAGCAGATGTTAGCTCAGAGTGAATCTTTCCCTGCAAAATAAAAAAATTACCAGGGATTAATTAGGAATGAAATGCTGATTCCCTCATAGTTTGTCAGGTGATGTTGGAGAGTAAACAAAGGGTCGATGGAGAAGGGAAAGCGGTATAGTCATCTGATAGATCTCGTGGAGTAGAACAAAAAAAAAGGGCCCTTATTCTTATCTGTTTCAAATGGATTAAAATGGCTTTAGCTAAAATTAATATGATACACATATGTATAATACATAGATGTACATGTATATATTACATATTAACATGGTTCTGAAGATTTTTTATAGACTGGTGAGTTTTAAACTTTTTTGAATATGGATAAGAAACGTAGTAAGGAACATTTTACTCAGCAACCAGTACATTCATAGGTATGTATATATTTATATATAACTGAAACAGAAGTGTTGTAACACAACACTTTATTCTGACACATTCCCTTCAGTTTATTTTTTATAATGCAGATAACTAACTGCCTACTACATTGCTTTTATTACCTACTAATAAGTTGTGACCTTTTTAAAAACTTCTGTCCTAGACCAACTTGATATTTGTTGTTTATAGATGTGTAAAGTGCCAGTACTTAACATGCTGAAGAATTATAAAATTTTGGAGTTAGAAGAGATTCTTACCACAGGTCATGGAATGATCAGAGCAACTTAAAGTACAAGGAACTTTAGATCTCTTCAGTCCTCTCATTTTAGAGCTGAGGACTGAGAGCAGAGATTAGCAACTTGTGCAGAGTTGCACACATATACTAAGCATAATTTAAGAGCGTATATGAGATCATTTCGATCTATGCTTTGTTTCATAAAGCCTTTCAGTGGGGTCATGGTCAGAACCATCATGTCGGCTACAGTGTGGTAAAAATTAGGATTCAGGTCAGTTTCATGAAATCCTTGGCTCTGCTGCTGACACCGTGACAGGCAGGCAGTGCTGCTTGGCAGCTGTACACCACCAAATACTGCTGCTTTTCTTTGACAAGCTTGAAGGAAGTTCAGAATATGGATATGGATTGGGGATCGCAGTGCCGTTTTAAGTTGACAAAGCCCATAATTGAACCATAAATTGTAAGTGTGGTAATTATGGTAAAGAAGAGTAGGTAGGTGGGGAGGGTGGTTTGATCTTGATTTTACAGAAAGGGAAAATGAAGGAGACAGAGTCAAGTGATAGCGCAGTCCACAAGTTCCCTTAGAGTATTTGTGAGTTCTTTTCAAAAGGAGTCTATTGCTTTGGGGCGAAGGGTGCTGACATTGCCACCAAAGCCAGTGATTTTCTTACCTAAGCAGGGAACTGGACTCATTCTGTGCTTGGCTTATAGCTGGATCTGATTTATTTTAAGTTGCTCATCCATTATAAATGATGTAAATTAAACCACTTCTTCAGCACGGGGCCTGACATGTAGTTAGTACTTATTAAATAATATCTGTTAGTATAGCTGTACTTTTATTTGTAGACACCTTTTACTATTAACAAGCATTCTTTGCGTGTATTTATATTTGAGTTCTGTAAAACACTGACAGCAGCAAAATTAATGTTTCCACTTTGTACTTAATGTCGTTTCTAGCAGCATGATATAGTGGATTTTGAAGAAAGAGAAGTAAGTTCAAACTCCACTTCTTATACTTAGCTCATTCATATATCTACCTCATACAGTCATTTCAAGTATTAAATGAGGCAATGTCAAGCTTTTATATGAGTATTCCTAGTAGCTAATCAATACATGGTAATTCCTGTTGTTATCTTTATCATTAGCATGAATAATCAAGAACACTTTGTACCTTTACATTAGATAATTATTTGCAAGGCTGTAAATAATCTTTCACTTTGAATTAGTTACCCCTGGTCTTCCGGACCTTAGGAAAGGTGTCACTAGAATCTGGTACTAATTCCATCACTAATGCTTGAATTGAGTTAGGCTGCTCTGAAATGTAGAGACTGTTAAATCAGATGATCACTAAGCTTTCCTCAGCTCTAGAATGCTGAGTTTTTGAGCTGATTGGTCTGAAGGCACTATCTTTTTTTCCTTCTGCTTCTCAGGCATGACATGAGCAACTTTGCCTGTCCTCTTCAGTTTCTTGTATATGTAGGAACACATAATTCATATCATAGAAGTGGTTTAAATTGCAATCATCAGCTCTTGACTTAAATCTTCACAGTTTAGACATTAAACCCTAATTATCACTCCCCCTATATTTTCCTATTGTGTGTAGAAGAAAATCCAAAATTCTCATCATGGCATATAAGACAGTCTGGCCCCTTCCTAACCTCTTTGGCCTTATCTCTTACTGCCGTGTTCCAAAAAGCACTGGCTTGAAACACATCGAGCTTATTCCTACTTTAGAACTTCAGTCGGAAGGTTCTCTCAGTCAAGACTGCCCTTCATTCTGATTTTCATGGTTGGTTGCTTTGTGTCACTCAGGTATCAACTCAGACTTCAGCTTTTCGGAAAGCTATTCAATACTCTTAGGAAGCATTACTTCTCCATACCACAGTCACTTGCTACCCCATTACCCTATTTATTTCTTCATTGTATTGCTGGTACTATAAGCTCTCTTTTATATGTGTTTCTCATCTCTCTCCCTTACTAAAATGTAAGTTTCTTGAAGGCAGGGACATTTCTGCTATATTCCCAGTGTCTAGAACATTGCCAAAAACATAGACACTCAGTAAATACTTGTTGATTGCATAAATGAGTCATGATAAAAATATAAGGGAAACCAACATTTATTGAGCACTTGCTACACACTGAATAACACTAATTTAGTCTTCCACTAGACTGTTGAAATAAGCATTAATTTCCATTTTGTAATAAAAAGCCCAAGATTGAGAAATTTTTCTCATCTGCCTTCAGGTAGGTATGCCTCTTCATCATCATCAGCTCACCTCCCATTTATTTTGACCTGTGTACCAGGTACTGTGCTAAGAACCTTAGGTTCATTATCTAATTTAATTCTTGTTAAAACTCTATGATGTATATCACTGTCCTGATTTTACAGATGAGAGATCTGAAGTTTATGTTAAGTAAGTAACTTGCCCAAAGGCACATAGAAAGTGACATAGTCAAAATTTCTAACCCAGGTTTTAAAAACCTCTACACTAGAGATTCCCATTTCTTGATGGAGAGAAATGATTTCTCAAGGTTTTTTTTAAAAACAGGATCAGAACCTTTTCTTTAACTGAAATGTGAAGCTAGATGCCCATTGTGATAAACAAGTAAAAACTGAGCTTAGGGATGGTGTGATTAAGCAGAACTATAATACATTGCTTGGTTCTCATTCCAGTGTGATTATCCTAGCATTTTAGGGAGAAAATGGCCTTTATTTACCTAATTGCAGTAGTCACTGTTACAATATATAGTTAATAAATATATCATCTTAAGAGGAAAAAAAATCTACTTTATAAAAAAGATTCATACTTAGTTTTTTTTTTTTTAAAGATTTTATTTTTTTCCTTTTTCTCCCCAAGGCCCCCCAGTACATAGTTGTATATTCTTCATTGTGGGTCCTTCTAGTTGTGGCATGTGGGACGCTGCCTCAGCGTGGTTTGATGAGCAGTGCCATGTCAGCGCCCAGGATTCGAACCAACGAAACCCTGGGCTGCCTGCAGCGGAGGGCGCGAACTTAACCACTCGGCCACGGGGCCAGCCCCCATACTTAGTTTTTTAATTAAACAATACAGAAAACTAGATAAAAAGAAGTCAAATCATCTGAACTGGTACCACCCAAAGATTACCACAATTAACATTTTAGTGACCTTCTTTCTAAAATCTCTTTTCATATATACATATGTATGTATTTATATGTATACTTTTTATAGTAAATGAAATTATAATCTACATGTGGTTTTGTAATTTTATGGTTTTTTTTGTTTTACTCATTGTTATGTAATACTCATCTTTCTGTGTCTTTTCATGTCAAAATAGCCTTCAGAATCCAAAGAAATGAAACCATAATGGTGAAAGTGGCTGCTGGGGAGGTTTGTGTGGGGCTGTATTCTGCCTTTCTCACCAGGCTGGCCCTGAGCACTAAAGCCAGAATCAGAGACTTATGTGAAGAAGATAGTCTGCCTTTTGACGCTCCTTTTTTCCCCTCATTGTGGTCACAAAACCTTTCCCTCTGGATATCTCCAGTCAGACTCCTGCCAGTGGATATGTCTGAGTTGGGATGGTAGGGAGAGGGTGTGCTCCCATACATGGTTGTACCCCTCCCTCTTACAGCTCAGTGCCCCTAAAACTCAGATAAATGTCATCTCTCTTGAACAAGATCTCTAGGCCAACTCTGAACAGGTGGCTAATGCCCTGCTTTCAGGCTTATGAACCAGGCCTCTGAGATACCAGGCCAAGGCAGGAATGACTGTTCTTGGAGCAACATGAGTGCACAGCAGGCCAGAGCAGGAGAGAGTGTCCTAGAAGCCTTTTATGTTTGGGGAAAACTTCAGTGTTGCTGATTCTTAAATATACCTCAATAGCACCTTCTGCCATGCTTTTGTTCTTGTTTCCTTTGCCTGGAATGTGCTTCTTCATTATTTCTCTGTTCAACTCTTATCTCTTGCTCAGTCTATCTCAAGCACGAGTTTTTCCATGATACATATTTTGGTTTCTTTTCCTTGAAACCAGATGTACTTTATTTGTCCCCATTGGTTAAGGCTCATTACATATTTTTACTATGTTTCAGGTAATGGAATATGAACAGCTGAGGAAATGAGAGTCTTGCTTTCATCATCAAAAACGTTTGTTGTTTATAGCAAGAGTTAGTATCAAGATTAAGTCCTTCAAAAGCACTTAATAAGAGGAGCAAACTTGTTCTCAAGTATTTCCATCCTAGCCATTGGTTTGACTATAGAAAATCTCCCTCTGCACATAACTGAGCTGAGAAAATAGTGCCTTTTAACTTGGTGTTGCAAACACCTAAGCATACCTACTACAAGATTCTGTTTAAAGGAGCAGGGGCTCACAGCAGAAGGGAGTAATCATTTTATATCTGGAGGTTCTGCCATGCAAGACGTGGCCTCTGACCGATGAGAGCAGGTTGAATCATGCCGCTGCCATTGGTGTTATTAATCTGTAACATAGCTTCTGTCACAAGTCCTGCCTCTTCCATGCTACTTCATGGTCAACTCCAACTCCCGTTTCTTCCATTTGGGTTCTCATTTTGCTTTTCCATGTTAGCCACAAAAGTAAAATTTCCTATGTTCTGAGCAAGGCTCAGGAATTAGGTCAAACTTTGATACCGTTGGAGTCAGAGAATCTCGCAGGGTGTCTGGAATTTCATATTGACTTAATGGCATCGTATGGGGATGGTGCATAGCTCAGTAATGTCTGGGTCCACTCAATTATACTTTATTACTTCATTATAATATTAATATTTCCCATAGTATAAATATTGGGTAAAATAAAAAATGTAAGGTAGAAAATTAAAATCCCTAATCATCCTCCTACCCAGAACTGCTGGGTAGAGAACTGCTGCTGGTATTTTGGTCTATTTCTTTCTAAGATTTCTACCCTAACCATTACTGTTCAGTGAATCTGTCATTTATAAGGATAGGAGGGTCTCACCAACAGATTCCAACCCAGCAGTGATTTAGTAGAGTTACTAGTTGTTCCTTATTCTTAATGTTGCTTGCCACTGTGTGGAGAGATGCGGAATGTCATCTCCCTTTGGCTGAAGTATGCAATGTCTGACCATCTTTGTGCCTTCACTTTGTAAACAATGCGTCCTTTGCTGGGTTGATTATGTACAGCTGTGCTACTGAGGATTTAAAGCAAAAATTGTATGAGAATGTATTTTTTCCCCAGAGGAGATAAATGTAATTTCTAAGAAGTGAAGTGTGTGTGCACGCATATATATATATATATATATGTATATATATATTGCTTTCTGTGTGGTTGCCTTCAAGATGTTTGAGCTTTCTTCCCTTTTGCTGTGTAGGAACCCAAGCCAGACCATCTCCTTGTGCTGAGGGTACTGTGGAATGACTTCTCTGTGTGCTACTCCTCTCGCCCTCTGCTCTGCTGGTCCGTGTGGTGGGCCCTCTCCACTTGTGGCTATTTTCAAGTTGTGAACTACACACAGGGCCTGTGGGAGGTGGTGATGCCTTCTCGCGATGCTGCTATCTATAACGGTGGTGTGGAGGCCGTTTCAACCTTACTGGGTAAGCAGTGCAGGATGGAGAGGCTGGTTGGGAGAGAGAGATTCCTCTGCTGGTTAAGTCAACCATAATCATATTTTCTCTCCCCTCCCAAATTAGAAGTAACCCCAAAGAATGATTTGCTTATTTGGGGCTCTGATTTTATAAGTTAGGAGGAAAATTTAGAAGTGCTCAAGTGGTAGAGGACATGACTAACAAACTTGAATTCTTTATAACCTTTGAGGAAACCTAATGTATTGATTTTCAAAATTGTTTTCTTATCCAAGTTTCCATTATCTGTGTTTACTGGGTATTTTTTGCCACTTGATGTGAAACTTTAAGTAGCAATATACAATAGTGTATAATAATAGCTAATAACTGTTAAGTGTTAATATGTGCTAAGTGCTGTTCTAAGGACTTTATGTGTATTAACTCAGTTCTTAGAAAATTCCTGAGATAGATGCAATTATTATCCCCATTTTACAGTTTAAGAAACTGTGGACAGATAGGTTAATAACTTGCCCAAGGTCATATAGATGGTAAGCAGTAAGGTCAAGATTTGGACTCAGAAGCCCATGTTCTTGACCATCATATTCTATTGTCCCTCTTTAATTTGTTAACCTATTTCATAACGTTTTTGGAAGATTTTATATGATTTCTGTAAGCATTTATAACTGTGCCCTGGCATCTAGAAAGCACTCTATACCTTTTAGCTGTCATTATCACTGCCATCATTTACCAAGGGGCAGAGATGCCCTTTGCCATATTCTAAACTGCTCCTCAGTTAAGAGGAGAGATGAGCCATCCTGCCATGTTGCCAAGCTAGAAGCAGTGGTTCTTTTTGACTCTTTCCTCTGCTTCAGCCTCAGTAGTTTTTTCCTTAGCAGCATCCCTGGGTCTACAGCCTCCTTTTCCATCTCATTGCCAGCTGCCCTAATTCAGTCTCACATCATCTCTCAGTGGCTCCATATTATTCATTCCATCAAGTCCAAAATTCTCTGCCTGACCCTCAGGCCCTCCATAATCTTGAACTATGCTATTTGTAAGTTTAAAGCTTTTAAAATATAATAATCTGAGCTGAATTTTTAATTTACTGAAATAGTATTTGTTTAGCAAAATAACTGGATGACTTTTCTCTTTTTGTTTTGTAGGTGCTGTTGCCGTGTTTGCAGTTGGTTACATAAAAATATCCTGGTCAACTTGGGGAGAAATTGCACTGTCTCTGTTTTCTCTCCTGATTGCTGCCACAGTGTATATCATGGACACTGCAGGGACCATCTGGGTGTGCTACGCATCCTACGTGGTCTTCAGAATCATCTACATGTTACTCATCACTATAGCAACGTATGTATTTTGATTCAAAAAAGCATTAGGAAAACTTGTGACAGGATAAACTTTTTGGTTTCTTTACAAACAAATTTTTTAGTTAAAAAGAGGCAAATGGGAGAAAGCATTGTACTGTATGTGCATCAGCGGTTTTTCTCCTGGGGAAGCATTTAGGCAAGGTTCATTTATTTTCTCATTCACATGTTCCTGCTGTTTTTAGATATTTGTGTGAGATTTACATCATTAAGCAACAAAATACTTTTCACTTTGTTGTGAAGGGAATTAACAGAAAGAAGGGCATAGTCTTCACGTTTAAAGTAAAAATTGTAACTACCCAGGAAGTAATTCTTGTCTATTTATTCTTCTTTTATTTATTTTTTCAGTTTTCAGATTGCGGCAAACCTCAGCATGGAGCGCTACGCCCTAGTGTTTGGTGTAAACACCTTCATTGCTCTCGCACTTCAGACTCTGCTCACTCTAATTGTGGTAGATGCCAGTGGCCTTGGCTTAGAAATTACCACTCAGGTAAGATCTCTGATTCGACACTGCAGATGTTATGATTTGATCAGGGTGGCAGAGGTGGAGCATGCTTGAAAACAGATTCAAACAATATAGACAGATATAAAATAAAAAGTGAAAGTGTTCCCTCTTTCCTTCAGTCATCCCCCATCCTTAGGTCTTTTCTACCTGGAGGATGTTGGGACCGTCATCTTTCTGATGAGGCCCTAGACCATTTCTGAGTGTGACTAACCAGCCTGGTGGAGCTGAGAGGTAATATTGGTTCCTCCAAGCCCAACTTCTCTGCTTCCTCATCCAATATTTTCCTCCATTTTTCATTCTGTGCCTGGAATGCTGTATCCCTCTCACAGCTCTCTAAGTCTCCTCCCTTCTTTATATAAAATACCCCCCACCCAAATACCAAGGTGATGACTTGGCTGTTGATGAGTAGCCTTATGATTCTTAACATATGTCCGATTGAGAAACACCTGCACAAACACCCAAAGACAATGTGAATATTTTTATTCATTCAGGAATGGTATAGTTGCATATGCCTTCATGCATTGTGAGTTTGTAGGTAGGGCTTGCTCTGTACTTTGAAAATGGGCAATTGAATCAAGAAGTGCCAGCCCCACCCCCATCCCAGCCCAAATGATTCCTTCTCCATTATTCCCTCCATACTTGCATCTTAATTTTCTTAGAATACAAAAACGCAACATGTTATCAGTAATTAACTTTGTTTTTATTGAAGAGACTTAAAAGAGAAATAATAATAATAATAGGTAACGTGCATATAGCACTTTCTACGTGCCAGGTACATTATATAGAATTTTGCAAGTGTTGTCAGGATGAGAAATTGAGAAAATGAGTTTGAGAGATAAGTAATGTTAAGTGTTGTTTAAGGTCACACAGATAATAATAATGTGGCAGAGCTATGATTGAAACTAGCATCTAACTCTCAAGCCTACATGTCTCCCACTGCATTATGCGGCCTCAAAAGGGGGCGTGGTGGGGAGAACAGATGAGTGGGAGCTTACTAGTAATCTTTCTGTATGTTTCCCAATTACTACCAGCAATAAAAACCTCGAGAAGACCTCTCAAGGGATAGGTGCTGACATTTGGGATGGAGGGTGGGAGAGAAACCAAGTGCTTGTCATCCTGCTACGGAAATGGTGGGTTTAAACTTGTGGAATAATAGAATTTTGTGGGCTACGCTGAAACTCTAACTGCCGTGATTAATTAGCAGGTTTCCTACAGGAAAATGTATACAAATTTGAAAGAACCTGGCCCAGAGACTTAGAGTAACATTCTTGTTGCACCTATGAGCTAGCTTATAAGTATTTAGTAAGTTTTAAGAAGATAATGATGATGAAGTTGTAACTATATGGTCACATTAAAAATTTGGCTTAGGGAAGATTCTTAAAGTAATCCTATAAGGGTATATAGTTGACCTTCCACTGCCCTCTTCTGGGGAAGAATAGAAGTTCTTGATCTTCAGAACTTGGCCTGTTAGTCATACCCACCTGTCAGCTTGAGGGTGGAGACCAGGATTCAGGTATAACAATAACAGCAATAAAAATTAAAACAATAGTATTAACAGTATTAGCACTGTGCTAATAAACATTTACATTCATGATCTCATCCCTTCCCATCAATGCTGTAAAGAAGGAAATATGAACTGCATTCTGTAAAATGAAGTCACGGCTCTGAGATTAAGTGTCTCAGTCAAGGTCACACAGCTAGTGAGGGAGGTAGTCAGGCTTCAGTTGGCTTCAGTCCCACCGCACTGCTGCCTCCGTGTATCTTCAGTACCCGGCACACTGTGTAAGCACACAATGCTTTTTGAAGTTTTATGGAGAAACTGAATATATCTTTAATTGCAGTATATGTTCACAGGTATGTAAGAGGACAGCTCATCTTCTAATTGATAATTCTATGAATTGCTACTTCCCCCTCTCTAGTTTCTGATCTACGCCGGTTATTTTGCATTCATCGCTGTGGTTTTCCTGGTTAATGGTGCAGTCAGTGTTATGAAGAAATACAGAAAGCAGGAAGATCCAGAATCAAGTTCTCAAGTAACCACTTCATAATATACTGCTGACGAGCTGCTGCTTCTAGCAAGAACTCTGCACAGCACTGTGCCTGGATGTATTTCATTTTTGAAGATGTGGACACATATTTATGAATGTGTATTTCATGGCTTCAGAGCAGCCGCTTGACTATGTCATGTGTTCCTGGAGTAACATAATACTGTTCAGAGGAGCCAGAAGTGAAGTTTATTTTGTGGGTTATTTATGAGAGCTAATTTAAGTCTGACTTTTTTCTGATTCAAAAACAAACTTGACTTTGAAAACCAAGTAGTCAAGAGCACTCAAGCAGCACGTGCTGTTATACACATGATAGCAGGTGAGTTTGATGTTTCATAGGGCAGATGCTTCTGTATCTGCTTAGCCAGAAGCTTGGCTGGTGGGACCAAGGCTTCACAGGGGTCACAAGATGTCACAGGTCAGGATAGAAATATGTTCTAACAGCACTTGCCCCTGTTCAACTTGAGTCTTATTTCTGTGTTACTCATGTGCATTTGTGTTTCTACAGATGAAAGTCGTTCCTATCACTGGCAATATTTGCTCTGGTTGGGTGTTCTGTCCTATAAGGAGTGTATGTCATTTCTAATAAGTTATTTTTTAAAAATTCATTATATGAATGTTCTCAGTTCTTATCTTGACGATTATATATTTGTGTAGATTTTCTTTAGAAGTACAGTTTTGCTTATTCATATGCTTCTCAGAGAAGCTCATATAGTTAGAAAATAAGGCAAGTTTTGAAGCCTACTAATAATCTAAATGAAGAGACCTAATCAGAAAACTTAAAGGTAGGTTTGTTTGTCTTTTATTCTTCAGTATGAAGGACTGTTAATTCCATGATGAAAGGTTAGTATATGGGCTAAAGACAACGAGCCCATTTTGTATTTGCATTCCCTTTTATTTCCAGAATTAAATGAAAAAGTCTTTTTTTTAATAACTTCATCCCCATTTATAGCTTTTATATTATTTGTTCTTCTTATCCAAGATAAAGATGTCATTAGGTGTTGGATTATTCCAAAGCCTTTTTCACCAACTGAGCCTCTTTTTAATTGTTTCACTAATTAATAATGGAGCAGGAACTAGGATAGATTTGGTTCCTGCATTTTGTACGTTAAATCTGCCTTTGTGTCTAAGGGTGGATCATCTTGAATATTTGCTTAAAATAAGAATTGCTCATGAGTCCATTTCCAAGTTAACTTGAAAAAATATTATTCTGTATACATTTAATTCTGAAATCAGCCTACCAAGTGGCTGCTAGAGTATGTGAGACATGAAAACTATTTTAAAGCCTTCCCTTGAAAAGGATCTAGGTAGCTGCTTCCAGCTGGGTGTTAACTTTTTTTAGAATGACACAGCTAAACAGTGTGAATAATAGTGTCAAGATTGCAAAATTGATATATTTATTTGGTTTAAGCAGGAATTCTAGAAGTAAGTGAATGAGGATAAGAAGAGGTCATTTCCCATTTGCCTTCCTTTCGGATTAAGGGAAAGGAAGAGAACACTAGCTAAGGAAGGGAAGGGGTAGTGATGTCATAAAAGTAGCAACCTCTAATTTTATATTTTGTCTTTTTTTTCTTGCTACATAGGGAGTTGTTTACTCAAATGAGCAGAAAAGTGGTGTTTGAGGGATTTTAATTTTTTTAATAAAATAGATAGTGGTACAAATTGTTCACATTACCAAAGTAATATTTCCCTGGAATTTAATTTGAAGACTGTGGCACACAGCCAGAACCTTTACTTATTTAAGAAAATGATAAGTTCACAATTTGGTGTGTGGCCGTATTTGTAGAATGCTGACCCCAATTTGCAAGTTGTATGCCGTTTTGCAAATAAGTGTGGAAATAATTGGTAATTTTTATTCAATTCTGTATAGATTATAAAATTATTTTTATTAAATAAATGTTTTACAGTATATTTTCCCTTTTTAATCAAAATTATTTTAAATTTGTCTTTTGCTTCAGTAGGAGTTTTAGATTCCATCCTGAAATGATTTCTCCTAGGACAAATTTTGTCTTAAGCCTTCTCCTCTGCTGACCCTCCTAATTAACCTTGTCATCCTGTTCATTCTTTCATTGCTTTGTGATCTTTTCCTTTGACTCCTCCCCCTTATTTCTGTTGTTTTCCCAAGTTTTTTCTAGCACCACATTGCTAGCAATCTAGCACCACTTTATTTTTCCTGGTCTTCATCTTGGTACCTCTCATCTCTCTGTTTAAAGTGTTCACCCTTTTAAAAACTGAAAAGGCCCACATTCCCTTCAGTGTTAACTGAATTTTAAAAATAAAGGAACTTAAATCAAGGGCAGAAGATGCCATCTTGTTTTGAAACTTCATAGCCTCTTTGTTCTGGCCCAAAATATTCTGATACCCAGCGAAGCATCTTTTTGCCATCAGTTGAGAGTCAGTTTATTATATCCTAGAAAACAAGTCAGTCTTCCTCTCAGTAGCCAAATTAGTACCTTCCCTTTAATATCCCATTCCAAAACCTGCTTCATTGAGGCATTTCATTGATTATCACCAAAGACTTGGAAATTTTTCATGCAAAACAACTTTTTTTATGAGAGTACTTTTTTTATTTTTATTTTTTTTGATGAGGAAGGTTGGCCCTGAGCTCACATCTGTTGCCAATCTTCCTCTTTCTTTTTCCTCCCCAAAGCCCCAGTACATAGTTGTATATGCTAGTTGTAAGTCCTTCTAGTTCTATGTGGGATGCTGCCACCATGTGGCTTGATGAATGGTGTATAGGTCCACACCCAGGATCCAAACCAGTGCACCCCGAGCTGCCAAAGCGGAGCACGCGAACTTAACCACACACCACCTGGCTGGCCCCCAAAACAATTTTTTCAAGATAAAGTTTTCTGTCCCTATAGTTATATCCCCTGTATCTTAATGCCTTTCAGATTGCAAGCCTTCTGGGCAGGGACCATGTCTTATCTTTGACTTTTGTTGCAAAACATTTCCTAGTGCCATATGAATATTGAATTATATAATTGATATGTAATGGACTCAGTATAGCCCCCTGCCAGTACAATAGCTAAATGCCCACTATTTTTTAAAAAGTACATCAACATGGAACATTAAGATTAAAATGCCTATCAATGATCTCTAGTCCACTACTTTATTCAAGGCATTATGCTTAAATGATAGAAATTGGATATGTTTGTTTTACTTATTATGGCATCCTCCTTATAATTAATACCTTACATTTGCTTAACATGTTTTAGTTTTGAAAGGGCATTTGTGAACATCATCTCCTTTGATTTCTGGAAAGGGATCTTGTAGGAGTACTAATTCCTCTACTGTTTTTCATTAAGTAATGCTGATAAAGGGAGTTCAAAGTGCTAGATTTGCCACTCAAAGCTGTGGTCCATTAGGGAAGTCTCTGTTAAGCTTCAGTTTCCTCATCAGTACGTGAGGATGATGCCTCCCTCGCAGGACTGTTGTGAAGAAATGAAGGAAGACGTGAAAGCACCTGTACTGGAGATGCAGAGTAGGGGACTGAGAAGGCAGTTCTAGTCCCCTTACTCTCCATTTACAGTTAATTTGTAGCTATCAATCTTAAAATTACACTTTCAAAGGAAAGTTTTTGAGTCTTGCAATCAAAATGAAAATGATCAGAAGCTTTTAAGCCCCTGCCCCCTTTATTTTTAATTTATATTTTGGAAAGCTCTTCTGTGGATACAAGGAAGAAAAAGTCATGATTCCTGCTCTCAAGGACCTTAAAATGTGTGATAAGAAAAAGTAGAAAGGATAATACATGCCCAACTGCAATCCACAACAGTGTGTCAGGTACCATAACAATTAAAAGGCTTGGGTCTCAAAGAGAACAAGGACATTGGTGAAATCATGAGTGGCTTCCTGAAGGAGGTGGCATTTGAGTTGGCTATGCAGTATGGGTAGAATTTTAAAGAAATTTGGAAGGGGGAACTGTGTAGTAAAGAAAGGGGCACAAATAAAGGTATAAAGGCCGAAAACTCTGTGTACAATCAGCGAGAAATAGGAGTAGGGTGAGATAAAGTTGAAAAGACAGTTTGGCGACATTTTCCAATGTTTATTAATTGGAGATGGAAATGGAGAATAATGATTAAGTTTTATGAAGTTTAATTTGGCAGCAGTGGATAGGATGAATTTTATGGAAGGTACTACCTAAAATTGCTAGTTCAGGGACCATTTCAATTGGCTAGGTGTAGATGAGGTAGGCCTTTATAACTTACCGCAGTGGAAGAAACAGAGAGGACTGACTTGGGGTTACTACGTTAACGTTCTAGAATGTGTGCCCCTATTTCAAAAGGTGGCTTAGAAAGTAAATAACCTGCCCAACATCACACTCTGTGAAGTGGAGAAGCCTGGATGGGAGTCTGATTCCCACCCTACACTGCAAATTAACGGTCGCTTCCGCCCCATACCCTTCTCAAGTCTGTAGGGATTACACTGCAGTGGGAAGAGGGGGCGGGAGGGAGCCCCCCAGCTCAGAAAACAGCCCCGGAGAAGAAGAATGCCAGGCAGGGCACCAGCAGCTGCAGGATGGCTGTGCTGCGGGGCTGTTCTAGAATGGCTGGGTAGGTGGCAGAGGGCTGAGAAGCCTCGGGGTACAAGTTGTGGGTGTACAGCTAGACAAAGCTGCAGGAAACCTAAACCCCGATTTCCCGGCCACCGCCTCCCCCAGGCCGGCCGGCTCCATGCCAGAAACGAGCCCGCGGGCCTGTGGTGGGCGGGGCGTGCAGCCTCGCTTGCTTCGGTCCACTCCCGAGGGGGGCCCCCCCGCGCCTGCGCATTGCGGCCCGCCGCACGCCGGCCGCGCCCGCCGCGGGTTTCCGTCCGCGCTGTGTCGGGGAAGCGGCTCGCGGTCTCTGCCGGCGCAGGAAGGGGGCGTGGGCCTCCGAGAAGGCCCGGCTGTGGGCTGCAGTTACCATTTCTGAAACTCCTCCTCCAAACCTCAGCGTGGGGAGACCTCCGGTGAAGGTCATGTGCTGTGAAAGGCACCGGCTGCTGTCTCTGACGTTTAAAACTTCTTGGGTAATCAGTGCGGCCGGCTACGGATCACTCTCTGAAACGGTTATTACCAAATTGTCCTCTTTTAAAATAAGTGAATCCAAGGGGACAACAGCCCTTTCCAGAGGACAGTCTTACCCTCCAGAAAAATCACAAGAGGAATTGCAACTAAGAAAATTCAACCTTCTGCCCCAAATGCTGAAATGTTAACAAAAACTATTTAATACTTAAATATTTGAAACCCCTAAACTAATTCATCTGTTTGATATAGTTCCATCTTCTACCCACACCACCACTAGCCTCTTTTTTTCTAATATGAAACTGCATACCTTGACCATCATTCCCTGCAGGATGCCAAAAATCCTGGAAGACCTACCCGCGATGTTCTGGGAGTGTGGACAAAGGTGGACCTTGACCTCCGGATCAGTACTTAGGATGGAGCCTTTGGACGGAACAGCTACCTGGAAATTCTCGCCTGGGTCTTGTGCTTGACTGATTAAGAAGCCATAGGCCAGAGAATGTGTCCATAGGGAAATTAGTCGTCTGCTTAAAGATCTGTTTTTATCTCCAACTCTCGTAATTAATTCCCAGTTACAGTTTGATGATTCTTTACTCCCCGCCCTGATTTTTTCTTTGCATTTTGGTCTCCTTTCCTTAGTTATAAGCCATTTCATACTTACCCAAAGTCATTCCTCCACAGCCATTTAAATTTAAAAAATATCTAGCTATATCTAGTGGTAGAAAGGACTCCAGCATTAAGCCAGAGGTCCTAGGCGGGATGTGAAGTAGTCCCAGATGGTAGGAACGCCTGGTTTATAGTAGAAACAATATTTTAAAAATCGTCCCTAGAGGAAAGCATTCCCTTTTAAGCCCCTGCGCTGATAGAGTTGTGCACAGTGTGGAACAGAAAATCACAAAGAGGATACCATAATCTTCAATAAGTAGCCTCCTAGGAAGGGCCCTAAAATCCCACCTCATAACATAGAATCAAATGTTACTAATTGAGCTTTATTGTGGTTGGCAAATATTCTGATTCCATGGTTATTTTAACATTATTGTGTGGTTTTAAAAGCATTATGTGGTCATGGTAAGAAATTTGGGAAATGTAAAAAAGCATATGGAATAATTATTACTCCTAATATTTGTCAACTCTAATCCCCTGTGCATGACTTTTGTCCTCTCACAACCCACAAGAAACCACAGCAGAGCATAAGTAGTTACTAGGACTCTTAGTGGCAGATCACTCTCAGATCAAATAAGTGTATAAGATATTTACTATTAGAAATTAATGTCATTAAAAATTAAATACATTATTTTAAAAATTACCAAAGACATAAATAAGCAACCATGAGTAAGAATCAGCAGAAACAACAACAGATGAAGAGACCTAATGGTTTCAGATATTGGAATTATCAGATACAGAGTATGAAATGAATATCTATAAAACGTTAAATATAAAAAATGTTTAAAAATGAGCAAGTAACAAGACTAACAAAAATGAAAAGACTGGCTTGATTTTCAAAGAACTGAAAAATATATTTTAGAAATTAAAATAGAAATGTTGAAGTTAAAATTCAATGGATTATGTCTCATAAATTGCTGATGAGAGTGTAAATTGGTACAACTCCTTTGAAGAGCATTTTGCTGTTGTCCTTTAAAGTTAAAGATAGGCATAGTCTATGACCCAGCAATTCCACTCCTAGGTATATACCACAGAGCTGCACTTTCAAATATGGCAACTACTAGACACTTGGGACTGCAAGCATACTCTGTTTTATTGTGCTTTGCTTTATTGTGCTTCACAGATAATGCATTTTCTACTAATTATTACCCTCCACCAGCAAAAGATTACAACTTGCTGAAGGCTCAGATGATGGTTAGCATGTTTTAGCAATGAAATATTTTTAAATTAAGGTATGTACATT